ACCAAAAAAAAACCCTTAACCTTGGTAACACTTTATCACTCAAGAAAATAGGTAATTATTTTTAAAATAGCGCCGAAGTAGTGTTTTTTTTTATACTTAGGAAGACGTTAAAATCTCAACGTTTACATAATTATAAACTGCACAATTTAACTTTCAAAATGAAGAGCAAGTAAAATCTAATCTATAGGAGAATAATTTCACTCTATATATATTACACATACAAATTTGGATAAATGTATCTTAAAAGATGCTATTGTTTTATGTTTCCTTCTCAACCACTGGCTGTGATTTTAATTGTGTTGGAGGATCTTCATTAGTATTAACACATGGGGAGATTTCACAAAGCTGCTTCATTAGGAAGGAAAAAAAAGCTGGCAGACTAGGTCTTTTTGCATGCACTGAGAATGTCAGCCTTACCTCGGTCATTTGTAACATAATAAGTGCAAGTACAATGATTGCAATGCAGGAGCACTGGGGGAAGGGCAGAAATACTGCCTGTCTAATAGGGTATCTGAAAAGAAGGCTGCTCATTACATAGTAAAATGTATTCTAAAAATTAGTGAAGATGATGTCTCAGGAGACTGATGCTAAATAAATTAATGTGCTGATATGTTTTTAATTATTATTTTTGTAGTAGTTTATTTCATTCTCAGGATTCACATTGAGCAGCAAAGCTGTGCTAGCACTTATTGATTTTTTTTCCCTGCCACATTCCCGGAATACAGATTTTAATCATTTCACTACACCACACTCAGTAATTTCATTAAAAACTGGAATCTTCCATCCCCAGAAAAGCATTTAATTTCAATGACATACAATTTCTCTTTTAGCAGCAAACTGTCTCTACAGTAAAAGCTGGCCTAAGGTCCAAATGCATAATTTAATCCTGAGTTTTCCATGCTCCGCATTCCTTTTAAACTATAATTTGAGTAACTACCTAATAACTGTAATAAGGACAATAATATCCTTATAATATATTATTAACTCATATTTAATTAACTCAGAGGCCAAGCTCCATACATGTATGACTGGGTCAATAGTTCCACCATCTCAAAATTTACTAAATAATGTTCCAGAAGAAAGATTAAAATATAAGTATGAATGATTGCATCTAGACTTCCATCCCAAGTCAGTCCTTACATTATTCTATAGTGGTGGTCATTATTCAAATAACATTTAAATATGTGGAAGCAAACAGTGGAAAATTCAGTGATATTTCTATAAACAAAGTATTAAGATATTAATATCTTAATATCCACTACTGACACTGTCCCTAATCATTATCTAATTCTGAAAGAATTAAAAAGGGCTGATTCCAAATTCTCTTGATTTTCATAAATTATTCTCTTAAATTTCTCTTGAAATAAAGAAATGGCACACCATAACTTGAATAAATGGAATATATTTAATAACTTATTTTGTTTAAATATTTCATGCAAATATCAGATTTTAAAAAATACTTTAAAATAAAATTTATAGCTGTCACACTGGTTTCCTAAATAATAGTACTCATAAAGATATATAATTTTTAATTGCCTGGTTTTTAGAGAAGAAACCTGTGCAAAAAAGAAAATTGTAGTAAAATTAATCAAGTAGTGGAAGTATGCCTGATAAGCAGAAAGTGACACATATATAACAAAAGTGATTAGCTACTATATAAAACTCTTATCACTCCCTTAAGTGATTTCACAACCTTAGTTCAAAATTTTTTATAAGAGTAACTTATATATGTAAGTTATATGTCAGTAACATATATAATTTAAGTTGAAGCCACCTACAACACAAAGTTATCTTTTCCTTGATTGTAAGATGAAGTGACTTAAAATATTTATCATCATTAAAAGGATAGAATAAAGAATAAAAAAGGTGATAGAGAAGAATTTCATTTCAATGTTTTTTAAAACGTTTGAAAACGATTTTTATTATCCTCAAGGGCTCTTTGTATAGTTTTGAAAGTATTTTTGTGACATCCTCAAAGATGAAGTTAAATGGAAATCACTATTAACAATAAATAAAAATGCAGGTATCTAAAATTCATAAATGAGTCTCTATATTCCAACAATCGAAGAATAAAAGTTTGAATTTTGTATTAAATATAACTTCAAACAATGTATCAACTGGTAATTTAAATATATTAATTATCCAATTTATACTTCTAAACTGATTTTTTTAATTAATGATATACTAGAAATTTCATGGATTAAAGTATTTAAGTATTTGATACCCTCTTACTAAGAAGAGTGCTTAAATTGTTTTTTTAATATAAATTATTCTTTTTTCATGTTGTCATACTTGATCATTTCTGAGATTAGAACATAATCAGAGTTGAGGAGAAAAATCAGATAAAATAATTACTACAGATATAATGTGGTTCCCATAGCACTTATTCTACCCAAGATCATCTAAATTAGCACTTAATCCTGTACAGAATTGTGAAAGAATTTAATAATAAAGCAGATCGTTCCTAATATTAGTGATGATTCTGAAATTCTATACATACCTACCAACAGACTAATTATGCCAGCCCTGTTAACTAAACTGTTGCACTTTCTTCTGGAAAGTAGCATCTGTTTTTAAGACCAAGGAAAATATATAGAGATGGACAAATATCTAATTTACTATTTCAGTATTGTCACTGGTTCCTCAAAGAGTGAGGAATTGCTATATGTGAAACAAAGTCTAAGAAAGCTGACTGTAAAGAAAACAAATGAAAGAACTCAACAGTATAACAAGCTGGCCACTGTCATATCTTGTTTCTGTTTCAATCACTACAGACTAAAGCTTTGTTTTCATTCATTGAACAAACATTTGAGTGTTTGCTATATGCTACAAGGCTGGAAAAACATGAAAAGCTCACTTTCTGGTTGATGTCCAAAGTGAATTCCTGAGAGGTTTGAGACTGATATAAATCACATTATAAAGGTACAAATAATAAAATTTGGTGAGAATACAGATGGAGCAACTAATTTAAAACAAATCTTTATCAAAGACGTCATTTGAACAGCTTCTCAAATACTGAGAGCTTACCTGGCAAAGAAGTTGGTGGGTAGAGGGAGGGAGGTATTCTAGGAAAAAGAAACCATTAACTGTAAGTACACAGAGCTACTAGGTCTGATGTCCAACCATTAGTGAGAAAAATCCGCTTAACAGGAATATTCAGTGCAAGGGATAA